CCAGTATCGAGAAGAATCACATTTGCAAATCGACGTGACTATCGTCGATTCGTCACAGATATCACTCACTCGTCAAGGTTATGTGGATCTTTGCGTCAACGTTACGTAAATGCATCGTTTAAGTTTTCTTCGTTAGATAACATAAATGAAACTTAGAGGATGATTTTTCATTTGTCTACGTCGAGCTTTCTCGAAAGCCAATTAATCGTATCAAAAATATTCGGATGTTTATCTTGAATTTTAAATAAAATAATCTAAAAGCATTTATCAACTAATTTTCAAAAGAATTATGATGTTAAATTTATTCTATTGACACAAGAAGTGTTATTAAAGAGTAATTAATGTAATAATTAAATTGATGAATTTGCTTCCCATCGAATAAGGAAAAAATATAAATTAGATAATTCGTTTTTCAATATAATAAATGTAATTTTAAATAAATCTAAGTAACGTGTTGCTTCTTCGTTACCATTGATACACTGTCTTTTTCTTCCAACTTGTCTATGCTGATTTATATCGGTCTGTATTACGTCTTGTTAAATCGACCGAGAAAAATGAGCACGTTTTCGCTTTGGTGACCGTTAAAATGTATAATTATGAGGCATCTTTGTTGATATACAACGGTAATTATCGTGATAAATCACGGTGAGGCTTGTCAGGCGGAACGTCATAACGCTCGAAGATTGAGCATCCTTCATTATTACGTTTTCTTTATATGAGAAAAAGGAAGAATTGTTATTGACACGGATAACTATGGACGCAATGTAATATTTATTATTACAAATCGGTTCTAAATATTGTTTGAAATTTTTCAAACGTAAATGAGATAAAATAAAGCACAGTTTTTCTTTCAAAAAATAAATTTATAAATATTCTATATCGAGTTTTCTTCAGAAGGAAGATATATCCCTAAGCTTAAAACTCACGTTGAAGTTATTTCTTTTTGCACGTGGATATCGGTTGGTGAGAAAAAAGAGAGAGAAAGAGAGAGCGCACGCACGATTTCCTGGGCAATCAACGCGCCGGAAGCTCAACCAATCGGCATGGTAGAAACTACTTCGCTTACTTCTCGACCTTGATTGGTTAGTCGTATCGAATGGGGTGTGACTTTTTGAGGCCGATGGTCTCTCTCTCTCTCTCTCTCTCTCTTTCTTTCTCTTTCTCGACAACAGGGGGTCTTTTAGTGCAGTTTCGCTAGTAGAGCAGAGGATATCCACCTGGCCCTGAGGCGACAACGAACGATGCTGCTCCTTCATTCCTTCGTTAATTTCATTAGATCGACTGATTTTCCTACTATGGCCCTTTGGCCCCTTCCCAAAAAGATGGTGGTGCTGGTTGAACTATCAGAAACCCCCTGAAGAGAATCTCCTCCTTCTGGGTTTGTTCAACACGGCGGGATACTCGTTGGGTCGAACAACGAGATACGACAAAGAGGTCCGTGTCTTTACGATTCGGTCGTGCACGACCATCTGATAATGATCGATCGATGCACGATTTATTAACGCACGGTTTAACGCTCTCCTTCGAAGTCATTCTCGGACAAACGTCCTCGATACAATCGAGATGAAGAAGGGTTCTTACCAATTTTATGTATGATTTGAACAAATCGAACGTCCAATGAATTGTGATCGAATGAGTACAAGAGGGACATTTAACTTCTCTAAGGTTTCTGTTCTACGTTGAATAAATATCATTGTTCATATATATGTCTGTAGTAAATGTAAGTTTATACCTACTTATATTTAAAGTAATACATTTTTGGATTGTTTTATTGTTTTTTGTTATCTTTATAAAATCATAATTGATATTATTATGTTTTCTTGTTCATTGGAGAATATTATACTTTCTTATCGTATGTACAAAATTTCATAGTTACAGTAGTCATAGAACAGAGTGTGAAAATCAAATATCAAACACCTTTTAAGAATTTAATAAGGATGACATATTTTTCTGTTACTCTGTTAATGAAAATTAACGAGAGGAGATAAATACATCTAAAGGTCGATGAATGGATTAGAAAAATCATTAACATGGCAAAAACGAGCCGTCTTCCGACCTTATTTGAATGATTAATCTCTTCTAATAGCGGTACCATGCGTTTCGATAATCGACCCGATAGTTGGGTCTTCGAGGCCGGTCGATTAACCACAAAAACTCGTTCGCTTTCCTTATGCGAGCCGAAGCGTACGTTCCTTTGCCGGTTCTACTATCGGCACGCCTGGTTAAATAAGAAATCGGAGAGTCGTGGACTCTCGATCGAATCAAAGGAACATGTTCGACTCGATAGCACGATAAGAACGTATTCGATGATAGATAGAATATTGATAAAAAACAAATAATAGAAGAAAAAAATTAAACTTGTAAATTGTATCACATTGAAGTTCCTAGCCTGTAATTAACATTTCAAGATCGAATCATCTGAAACACTTAAAATAAGTTTCAGAGGTCCGTGACACGTGGAAGAAATGTTTTTAGCAAAACTAAATCGCTGAGAGAGAGA